CACGAGTCTCAGATTTTTTTTTTTTCTTCTTTTTCGCGCACACACACACACACACACACACACACACACACACACACACACACAGCCTTGACAGAGTTGAGGACAGGACAGCAGGGGCATCAGGTTACAGCACAGTGAGGGGCAGACAAACACAATTCTCTCTCTTTCACACACACACACACACACACACGCACAGAAGGGGAATTGATTGAGGATCACATGACTGGAGTAGAATTCTGTCAAAAACAATTACTATGAAAACCATCCACCTGTCAGAAGTTGTTCAGAGTTTCTCTAAAAGGTAAAAAAAAAAGAAGTGAGTCTTTAAATCTGATGATTGAAGTTGACGACGGTGAAAACATTAAAAACATGGAATGACGTAAAAACCAAGAAATACTGTGTCGCTTTGGAAAAACTCAACTCCAACATTTTCACACTCATTTTCAGCTGGACTTGACCAGACTGACTAATGAACAAAAGTAGGGGGCGAGGGTTAAATATGAGGCCGGATGAACCACAGCCGTGGTTCGACATCAGACCAGCTCTGGAAACAGAATGTTGAAATCATAAATCCACATGATAACGCTGGCTGTGTTTATTATTTAGCTTTTCAATATTCCATTATCGAGATCCCACGTGTCAAACTCAAGGTCCGGGGGCCGAACGCAGGCCGCAAAATAAAGAAAGTCAATGGATGTGACTGGATTTTCTTTGAATGAATGTCCCGCTGCGGCCCGATAAGGGATTTTCTTTGAATGAATGTCCCGCTGTGGCCCGATAAGAAATGAGCAATGGACTGTTACTGGTCCACGGACCGGGGGTTGGGGACCCCTGATCTATGAGCAATGGACTGTTACAGGTCCACGGACCGGGGGTTGGGGACCCCTGATCTATGAGCTATAATCTGTTACATAAAGAACCAGGTTAAATCTCTGCTCCCTGATTGGCTTGTGTGACACGAACGCCACATAGGCAAACAGTCCTGCTAACGAACTGAGCCGCCGCATCAGGATGTAGCCGCCTGACCTGGTGTCGTGTAGAGGAAAGTTCAAATGTATGGAGAAAAGACGTGGCGTTCACGACGTTCGCAGCAAAAAACAAGCAAAATATTCACGTGCAGAAAAGCGAAAATGAAAATCCAAATGAGGTGTAACTGTCGTTAGTGAAGAGCCTTTAACGCAACACCATCAGGGTGGTCTGTAGACACGAGGTGAGGTGGTGACTGACGACTGGAATTAACGTTTTCATTGACAACATTCACTTGTCTTTTGTTGTTGTTGTTGTTGTTGTTGTTGTTGTTGTTGTTGTTGTTGTTGTTGTTGATTTCAGTTAAATTGTGCTGAAGGTTCTAGTGTTTCTACAAACTTTGTTTTTTTCATCTTTTATTAATTCATTAACTCCCTGAAAGACCGAGTCCCAGTCAGTCCTGAAACCCTTGCCGTGATCATCCATCTTATTCAAAACCCCCGCAACCGACCAAAAATGACACCACGGGGGGCGGGGGCCGTAAACTGAACGCCAACAAAACAACTGCGGTCAAATGTAAACTGGTTCTTTCATGAAAGTGTGCCTGGTTACAACAGAACTGGAACAGAACCGGACCGACCCGTCCTGACCAGTACTCCTCTACAGCTCCTCTGTATCACAGCCATCGACCGCCCATATATGGTCAGTAGTAATTAGAGAGACAGAGTCATTTCCTCTCTCTTCTGGCTGCATGGTGCTTAAGCCTTCACAATGCTGACATCAGCACTCAGCTCTGACTGTAGCACTACAACACACACACACACACACACAAATACACACAGATATACACACACAGAGAGAGGAAACTAGGTTTAGATTTGACGGGAAAAAAAATGCGATAGATTTTGTTTCAAGGATTCAATTTTGGAAAAATGAGTCTGGAACCAAACGTGGTGTGAACAACACCTGACCAACACCGACCAACACCGACCAACACCGTCGGGTCATTAACAGGGTTGTGCTCTTGGTGCTGTATTCAAGACCCATTTCAAACACCGGCAGCACCGCGACGACTGTGACTGTCAGCGTCATGACAACCAGAAGCCACATGGTCCACATCCATCTCTCATGTCATGGGTGCGAGTGCAGCCCGTGGCCTGGAGACGCGCGGCATGTGCAGCCGCCGCACATACACACACACGTACACACATGTACACACATGCACTGGTGAGGGTTTTTACATCAACATCCACAGCTCAAACACACACACTCACACCTCATATCTTCAACTCTAACTTCAACTGTAAAACGATGATTCGTCGACCGGGACTTTGGCCGACGTCAGGACGCTACTACTGAACACAGACACGTTTTTAAAAAAAAAAAACAAGGAAAATTCTAATCATTTGGACTCAACCACGGCCTGTGCTCCTAAACACACACACACACACACACACACACACACACACACACACACAGACAGACAGACACAGAGTACCTTTGCTGGCTTCAGTGAAAGGATATGGCCATTCGGTGATCTTCTTGGCGTACTTCCTCACCACGTTGTCCTCGCTGAAGAGGAAAAGGGAGCGGTTGACCGTGAGGCAGCTCTGCCGTACGGGGATGGGATTGTACAGGGCCATGGTCCGAGCTCTCTGGGCCATCGACTGCTTGTACACCCGCTGGGCCCCCGGGGGTCCCCCTTGCCTGCTCCCGCCACGGCCGGGCACCCCTTGTCCGCCGGCACCCCCGCCTCCGCCGCCGCCACCTCCTCCTCCATACCTGTTGGGTACCTCGTCTCCAAAACGTGCCATTCTGTAGACACCAAAGGCCAGAGTTTAGCTAAGAGCCGGGGGGGAACCTCAGAGTGACACCTCCACATGCCACCACCCCATCAGCCTCGGCCTTCGCGCCCACATGCAGAACGGGTTTGGCTTTGGACTCCCTTCTCTCCTGGCTGGTCTCTCTCTTTTCCTCTCCGCCTTTATCTATCTGTCTATCAGGCTCCCTTCCAGATCCTCAGTGCTGAAGTGATACCTCCATTTGAGTGTGGAGTGAAGAGAAAAGAGAGGGAGGAGGAGAGCCGATGGGAGGGAGAGGGTGTTTGGAATAAGGATGGGAAAAACAGGGTTGTTTTTTTTGGCCCAAATAAATGAAAACAACAGCGATTGTTGTTTTCAGGGTTGTTGTTTTTTTTTTCTCTGAGTGTCTGCAGGTGTCAGAGCTTCAGTTCGTCTTCAGTCTGTGACAAAGGCATTCTGCTTTTCTTTTCTTTTTTTTTTGTTTGTCTGTTTTGTTTTGTTTTCTTCACCCTTCTGTTCAGAGACTGAATTTGTTTTTGGTCAGAAAAACATCTCCATGACAGGAGTGACCGTTGGAGTGTTGCATCAGAGAGCGGTCAACAACCAGAGGCTGAGCTCAGATTCATGCAGAACGGATGCATAGCAGTGAGCATTCTAAAAACAAATGTTGAAATCGTCTCCACTCAGGGAAAGGCTAGTTAGGCTGGAGTGGAGACTGCGTCTTTTTTTTTTTTTCCCTTCTTCTTCTTCTTCTTCTTCTCCCCCCTCTTTCAACAGCCTAGAACATCTTGACAGGATCTGCAGTTGTCTTCCCTCCCTCCCTTTTTCTCCACGTCTCACCCCTCCTCTCCCCCCCTGCGTGGTAAAAATAGAAAAAGATAAGAGTGAAAATCTTTAATAATTCATTTTTTTCCCTGTGCCATCCATATATCCGCAATGTTTGGTGCGGCAGATACAGTATTTCTCCCACCCCCCCGCTGATGCTGATGCTGATGCTGATGCTGATGCTGATGCTGCCACCTCTCTCTCCTACCACCACCACGCCACTCGTCTTACACCAGGCAAACGCCAACCGTGGGGGGCTTCCCCAAAATCCGGGCCTGGTGACATTTGTTGATATTTGGTGATGGACGGTGCGGCATCCCCTCCTCCCTCCCCCTTCTTCCTTCTCCTTCTCCTCTTCTTCCTCACCCTCCTCCGCCTCCTCCTCCTCACCAAGGCGTCGCTCACTGATTTTGGGCGTGATTGCGCGCACTTGGGAGTCGAAAATAAACACTAATCGTTAATGTATCAGTTTATAATGTATATATATATATGTGTGTGTGTGTGTGTATCTTCCTCCGCGTTCACGCACGCACGCGCGCACTCACGTACACGCACACACAAGTGTTCCCTCTAGGAGAGAGGGAAGAAGAAAAAAAAAAAGAAAAAGAAATTTGAGTTGATGAAATGAGGAAGGGGTGAAAAATGGTGTCCACAAAAATCATCTATAATCCAAGGCTTGAAGTAGAAGATGAATCCCTGGCGAATAGGATCCGGAGGAGCAGGAGAGCAGCGCTGCTATCTTCACCATCATCAGGGGACGGTGGGAGAATCGGATGGCGGCGGCGGTGCGGGTGCAGTGTTGTATCAACGGCAACGGCAACGGCAGCAGCGGCGACGGCGGCAGCAGCGGCGGCGGTTCGCATCTCCTCTTCGTCCACTACCAGCGGGCAGAAACCGTGCACCATCCCTGCCCAGCGGCTGCAGCAGCATTGCCCTCGAGGCTCCCCGCAGCACAGATAGGCGGTCAACCCCGCAGAGCCCCGCAAAGTCCAGCGTCTCTTCTCTTTTCTCTCACCCACACTCTATATCACCTTCCCTCTCTCTCTCTCTCCCTCCCTCGCGCACTCACTCTCTCTCTCTCACTCTCTCTCGCTCTGTGCGTTTTTTTTTTCCCTCCCTCGACCCCCCCCGAGGGAACGCGCACAGGTCTGTGAGACTGAGTATTCCCGCAGCAGTTGGCGGTTCCTCCTGCGTCTTCTACCCCGTGTTCAGCTCAGGCTCTGCCACTGGGTGGAAGCAACTGATCGAGCCGACCGGAATCGATCAAGCGCCGCGCAAAGATCCGTGGCCAAGCCTTGCAGCGCACGACGCGCACGACTGCGCCTCCCTGGTGCGCCCCCCCTCCCCTCCCCGCCCCCTCCATTACAACCCACTCCCCATATAGCGCACGACCAAGACGTGAGTGGCAGTCAGTGGCAGGAGGTAACGCAGGTCGAGGCAGGAGCCCTAAAAAATGATCCTGTAGAGAAAGTGTCTAATGTCGGTGCTGCTCCACCCTCCGCCCTGTGCTCTGCTCTAACTCCACACTTTACCATCACTCCTTCAGTTGGCACAACTGTCACCTTCTAGTAGCCAGGAAAAAAGGTTGATTTTAACTTTGGTCGCATTAGACTTGAAGAATCTTACAAAAAAAAACAGCAAATTTTAGTGGAAAAAGATACAAAATAGTTTGCTTACTCGTCATAAAGCTAATTCCCTCCCCATCCCTGTAGAGGGTGCTGTAAACGTGGCGTATATGCTCTGCAATGCACAGATACATAATTATTGTTTTCTAAAATGTAATCGTGTAAATTTGTTAATTTGGTTTTTGTTTTTTCCAGTCTCCAGTAAATATAGACAAAAAAATATTGACTAAAATTGATGGAGACATTTTTAAGTTCCTCTTTTCCTGAGCCAGTCAAAAGTTGAACCATTAAAGGAGCTGACTCTAGAGCGCCACCTGTGGCCCGGCCCCCCAGCAGTTATGTCTCTGTCCAAGGCCCCTCCTATCAGTGTCAAACCCAGCCTCGAGCTGAAGTCAAGCAGATGATAGTACACAGTATTAGCAGTAATGAGATATTCTAAATGTAGTAAAATGAAAAAATGGAATTCAGCAGAAATGAAAAGAGAAATTAACGACGGGTTTTTGTCCTGATCTGGGAATTTGAAGCTCAAATATTAGACTGAAAATGTAGAGAATAATTTTATTTTGTCGAGGTTCCTGAATAAAGAAACCTCCACCAACCCCCCCCCCCACCCCACCCCGTCCGCCTTCTGTCAGTCTGGCTCTGGCATCTGAGTTGTCTTTGATTCAAACCAGTATGTTTGTTTTCCTGGACACGACAAAAACAAGCTGTCACTTCACTGGGAAATGACAGAAATGGAAAAGATGAACAGGAGATTCTGGCTCAAAGAAACTTCACCAAAATATATATGCATATGTATATGTAAACTTCACCAAAATATATATGCATATGCATATGTTTGTATTTTATAAATATATATATTCAAAAAATGCCAGTTTTGCTCAAACACAGCACATGCCGCTTGTGGGCGCTATCCTTGGTGCTGAAACTGTTTCCTCAGTTCCACTGGGGCCTCTGGAGCTGTCCAAAGTGCTGAAACAAGGGTATATTATCAGCGTGCGCCAGCTGGGCATGGCTTTGGAGGAGTCTCACCTCCATTGTGCATCAGGGTGAGTTTTTGTACCTCCAGCCATCTGGTCAACGCTGCGATGTGCTTACAAGTTCTGTTTGCCGTTTGTTTTCTCCACCAGCTACGTTGGCAGCAAAACACTCATCATTTGGAGATCCGACGCCGTTCGGAAAAACTGGCCCGTGGAAAGAGGGCCATATGGTGGATTAGTGCAAGAGTATGGAGTCGTAGAAAACTTTGTCATCAGTGGTGGAAAGATATGGAAATGTATTAAATTTAACGTCACGAGAAATAGAGATTTGTTCATTGTACAGATAAAGACCACATGCATTTAAGAGGCCTTTATGTTGGGATAATGCAGAGAGAAGAAGAATTAGTGTGTGTGAGATAAATGTGAGTGACAGGTTGTTCTCATCTGTCTTCACAGCCTGTGGTTTGACGACACCAATCCATTCCTTCCAACAGAAAAGCACAGAGAGCAAAAACAAACAAACAAACAAAAAAACACGAGTTTTTAACACAGTCTAGTCACACAAGGTTTCACCCTTGCTTCCATTTTAACGTGCGATATCGGTAAAGAGCTTTACGCAACGATTGACATTACCACGAGTCAATGACTGTTGCAGTGGCATATGGGTCGACCAATTAGATTACACGGGAGCTTGCCACTACAATCAGAATTAATTTATCCAGCTTCCCAGCAGTGTTCAGTTTTTATGCATCTTTCACAATATCTCTTACTTTGTTTTATTTTTTATTCTCCAGTCTTTGCTTTCATCAGGCATAGATTTTCCCTTTTGTGGTTTAGTTTTTTTCCTAGTGCACAGCTGCATGGGCTATGTTTTTTGTGCTGTGGATGAGTAGGTTGAAGTATCAGTGTGGACCACCTCTCTTTTTCTATCTCATTTTCTTCACTCACTGTCACTTCCCTGTTGCAGTTACAAGCACATGCTCAGTGTATATACACACACCCTCAATCTCAATTTAAACTGGAGCGTCACTCTGAATGTGCAGACGTCTTTGTCGGTTTTACCAAAGACACACTCCCACCATCACTTCAGTATTCCCCCTGACCCCCTCCTCCCATCACCCTGTTCTTCCTCCTGTCTCCTGCTCTCCTCCTCTCCTTCCCCACAGTCAGTAAGTCTCATCTGCTCCTTCATCAGCACTTCCACCTTCACTGCTTTCCATTAGACGTCTGTCATGTATAGAGTATATTATCATTCCAGGTGTGTCAGCTCCTCTTTCTCTCTTTTACTCAGTCTTTATCAGTCATTATCTCTTGTTAACCGTGCAGAAAGTTTATTGTCATTTATTTTGATTTTTTTTTTTATCCTGGGTTTTATTGATGTACTGTCTAATTTGTTAGAAGGGTCAGTTTTAAGACTTTTATGTTCAACATTGAATTATTTGTTTCCTTTTGGTTTGGAAGAGCTTTTTATTGATACAAATAAAAGTAAACTGGCTGTAAGCATTTTCCTGCTAAGCTTCCTCCCTGTGGTTAGGGTGGAGCACACACATTCACTTTATTACATATTTAATTAAAGTACTCGG